TGTATAGTCGAAGTGACATCTGCACTTGTTTGTTCACTGCAGCACTCTTTACAATAGCCAGAAACTGGAAGAAACCTGAATGCCCAAGAACAGATGACTGGTTAAAGAAACTTTGGTACATCTACACAATGGAGTACTATGTAGCTGTTAGAAAAAATGAAGTCATGAAATTTACATACAAGTGGTACAATATGGAAAGTATCATGCTAAGCGAAATGAGTCAGAAAGAGAGGGATAGACATAGAAAGATTGCATTCATCTGGGGGATATAAAGTAACAAAGTATGAGATTAATACCCAAGAATAGCTGAGATCAGCACCAGGAGGATTACTCCATAACTTAGAGGCCAGCCGGGTATCCTAGAGGAAAGGGCAGTTCAGATAGAGAAGGGAGCACCAAATAAAGGATGTTTGGAGGATCCTCCCAGGAGGGGAGATGCATGTCGAAAGTAGACTATGGACTGAACATGTTTGCCACTCAATGCCTCTTTTGCAGACCACAACACCCAAAAGGAGAGAGAGAACACAGGGGATTGCCCTGCCACAGAGACAGGGGGGATGGGGGGATGGGGGTGGGAGGGATATTATCTATGGTGGTGGAAAATGGGCACTGGTGGAGGGATGGGTATCTGATCATTGTATAATTGAAACCAAAGCACAAAAAATTGTAAATCTACAACTTTAAAAAAAATAAAAATAAAATAAAGGGAAAAATAAATAAATAAAAAAAAAACAAGGCATGTGTGGCTTTTTCAAATCCCAAATTTCAAATCACCTACAGCTTTGTAAGGCGAGGCAGGCTCTCTCGTGCTGGGTCAGCATCCAAGCACGTGGCAGGGGTGTGGAAAATGGTGGATGAACCTTTGGTCTCAACCTGTCTCAGGGAAACTGTGTGGTTCTGATGAATGAAAGAGCGTCATGAAAGAAGGCACAGCAGTGTATATTATTGAGTAGCAACAATAACAAAGAGATGCTGGTGAGAGAGCCTCCTCAGGAAGAATGAGGGTACAACTGAGAGAAGAAAGGGGTCCCCCGAGATCACTTGTCATTTCTCACGAGGATCGCCCTAGATTTCATTTCTAGAGTTCTCCACTCAGAACGTGAGTGAAGACAGAACACAGGCTCTAATCATGCCGATCTCCCTGTGGAGTCAGTGCAGAATGGCACAGCCACCCAAGAACAGGAGTCAAAGGCGCTAGAAGGTCTGTGTCCTGTCACCTGCCACCATAATCCTGTTACTCACACAGGGGGAAATTTAATACAACCTCTCTGAACCTCTGACTTGCCAACTTCAAAGGGGATGACAATGACTCCTTGCAGGTGTTTGCAAGGCGTTGAAAAGAGTAAGTTTCAACATGATGGCTGCTTCTTGCCTATTTGCAAAGCATAACACCCAAAAGGAGAGAGAAAGAGGAAATGTGCCTGCCACAGAAGCAGAGGGTGGGAAGAGGTGGGGCTTGGGGGGAGGGATACTGGGAACACTGGTGGTTGGAGAATGGGCACTGGTGGAGGGATGGGTACTCGAGCACTGTTTGATTGAAACAAAATCATGAAAATTTGAAAGTCTGTAACTGTATCTCATGATGATTCATTAAAATAAAAATTAAAAAGAAAATAAATAAATAAAAATAATAAGAGTATGATGAGAAGTGCCTGCCATATCCCTAGGTGTAGAGCAGGCCTTGAAGCAGACGGGCTCTCACTGTGTAGCCTCTGGCTCTTTGCCTCCGAGCACCAGGACATAGAAGGAGTTCGTAATAAGGAAGGTGGACTAAGAAAGCTTTTCTCATTAGACCTAGATGCCTTGGGAGCTACTTTGTTGACCGAATTCTTCCAGAGGCAGAAAGCAAATAAATGATCTTAGCTGCCAGAGAGGTGTTTGGCTTTTATTTCGCAGCTAATATTCACAGGAAGAGCAGGACTACGACAATATGGCAATTGATTAAATATTCGTGGAGAGGCTTGTTTTCCAAAACAAGTGTATCAGCAAGATGTCAGAGTATGCAAGTGTGTGGGAACACACATGTGAGCATGTGCAGGGAGAGAAAAGTCCTCTATTACACGGAGTCATAGAATCAGGGTGTTCACCTTCAATTACTCATCAGAGGCTTCCTAGCCTAATCCAGATAACAGCAACCTTGGTCTGCAGTTTGATTTTGCTAACGTATCTGTTGCACTGCTTTATTTGCTCCCTTGGTAGTTCTTTCCGCATTTGCATGAAAGCAAGTTCGGGTAGGGGTCCTCGCTTGGGTCTGAGGGTCTCTCCTTTTCCTCTTTCTAATCTAGTTTCAATTAACACTGCTGCTTCCTATGGAAGAATGAACTTCCTAACTCCCGAAATAGGAAATTAATAGCCCCTCTAAAAGGAACATAAACCAAATAAGCTGATGAAGCCAAATCAGCCAAATCCTAAATTATATTGTTCAGAAGAGTTTCCTTCAAATTTTGTGACAATAAGGGCCCCATTCAGAACTTTCATGACTGAAAACATGAATATCCTGCTTATCTCTGAGCTTGCTCTTTCCCAGAGAGGTGCCATGCTCCATAAGCAAACAATCCTTCCAACATTCCCTGGAAACTCAGTAAAAAAGATCAGTAAATTTTCTCATTTTACTGGAGTAAATAACTATCACTTATACAATGACCCAAAAGCAAAAGTCTAAAATAAGATGCAACAATAGAGAGAAATTTATACTTACTTTCATTCTTTTAAAGAAAGAAGCTGTATATTTTAGAGAAAAATTTTTTAGAGAAAAAAAATTTCCCTAGGGGTCAAAGCAATTATATAGCTGGTAGGGTGTTTGACTTGCATGTGGCCAACCTGGGTTTGATATCTAGCAACCCCTTGGTCCTCCAAGTCTGTCAAGATTGATCCCTGAAGGGACGGAGCAATAGTACAGAGGGTAGGACATTTGTCTCGCACAAGGTCAACCAGGTTCAATCCCAGCATCCCATATGGTCCCCCAAGCATTGCCATGAGTAATTCCTAAACGCAGATCCAGAAATAATTCCTGAGCATTGCTGGGTGTGATCCAAAAAACAAAAGCAAAAAAAAAAAAGATTGATTCCTGAGTGCAGAGCCAGGAGTAAACCCTCAGCACAGTCAATTGTGACTCAAAAACACAACAAAACAAAATTACCTTAGTTCCAGATCATCTTAATTTGGATTAAACTACAATGTAAAAGACAAGATGATGAGTGTATCCACGAGAGAAGGAGAGAAAAAGAGAAGATGGTTAAAAAAAAAAGAACTACTCTACTGGCTTATTCTCGTGAGATTATCCCAAATTTGATAATCTCATCAAAACTCAAAGACTTGAAGAAAACTATTTTATGAAACTTCATAAAGAGTTGTGTATTATGTTTGACACAAGGTGAAACCTAGCCAATAGACTTGGGGACAGTGACAGAGGGATGGTGGCAGAGAGAGAAGATCAGGGAAGATGTTTATTCTAGAACACAAGATCAGACTTCCTCCGTTCTTACCAAATCTATAGGAGAGGAGCCCAGGAAAATGTGGGCAACAAGTTTTTTTAAGCAGTCAATAAATGTAAAATCAAGTAAAATATTTCCCACAAACTATATGTCCTCTTCTTTTTTAATTGCATTTATAAATTTTACATTCTCTCTCGGGTTTCTTTCCTTGAGTAATGGGTACACAACAGTCATTCAAAGTCACATAAACAACAAAACACTGTCCTCCTGTTGTTCATCGATTTGCTCGAGCGGGCCCAGTAACGTCTCCATTGTGAGAATTGTTGTTACTGTGTTTGGCATACTGAATACTCTCGGTAGCTTGCCAGCCTCTCTGAGAGGGGCAGAGGAATCGAACCTGGCTCGGCCAGGCTGGCTGCATGCAAGGCAAACGCCCTACCGCTGTGCTATCACTCCAGCCCAAAGTCACATAAAAATGAGGATTTTTCTTGCTTATGTGAAATTCTTCTTAATTGGCCAAAGGTCATTCATTACTGATTTTCACTAGAGCCCACAAAAAAACTCTTTATCTTTTATAAAACCAACAATTTCTTAGGGATACTAGAGAAAAAAATCTATGCGAAAAGCCTCTGCTCATTCAACACTCAGTTACCTTTGCAATGTTTGAAGGCATAAAAAAGCATCACACCTTCCAATTATGATTTTATTTCCAAGTAATTTGTTCTCAGATAGGAACCCAGCTTATGAAACAGTCTGCAAAAGTCTATGCCTATTCAGGCATAAATTAGGCAACATGCTTATTGATTGTTGTACAAACATCACTGACTTAATACTGTCATTAAACAGTCTATAAAACAAGACAACAGTCACCAACACAACGCAGGTTAGCAATTCCAAAAGCAACCCACCTACTTAAGCAGGGTTCAAAGAAATAAAGTTAAGGAGGAGAGACGGAGAGCACTTCTAAATCAATATACAGCCCTAGTGAATCTTTTTTTTATGAACTCTAAAGATAGATTTAATCTATTTTAAAGATGATTTTTTATTTTTTAATTTTTATTAGTGAAACACCATGAATTGTAGACTTACAAATTTTTGTGCTTGGGTTTCAGTTATACAATGATCAAGTACCCATCCCTCCACCAGTGCCCAGCCCTAGTGAAACTTAAGGCTCGGTTCCTTTTCAGAGACCTTAAAAGTTGTCAAGTTCCCATCGCAAGTGCTATCCACCTCATTCCTGAAACATTTGGAATCATTTGTGGGACAATCATTCATAGTGGTTGAAAACCTCCCTTAGCAAGGATGTGTAGTTTCTATGTAAATCACAGACAGATGCACTCCAAACCAAGATTAACAAGTCTAACAGAATGATTCTCTCCTCCGTGAATGAATTATAGTGGATACCGTGCAGGTATTGGACCTGAAGAGGAATCGGCAACGTGTTTCTCTGTTTGCTCTATTGCATGCACCAGAAATCAAAATGCACTTTCCCATCAGAGTCACCTGCTCTGGGTTGAATCCACCCAGTTGAAGAGGTAGGGGAGGGGGGAGGGGATGAGGACTCACCATTTGACTGCTGTACCAGTAGAGTGAGGATCCCTTCAGCACCACCCAGAACTTTTTCCATTTGTTGCTTAGGAAAGTTCCCTTTTCTTTTTTCTTATAGAGCCACCCTTGGCAGTCAGCGTGCCCCAGGTCTTTACAGGAAATCCTCCTCCGACTCATGGTGAAAAAACCTGCAATGATCCACATGGAAAGGAGGATAAAGTAATGAACGCCCTGGTCTACGGGGCAGAGGGAGAGCCAGCCCTCAGTTTACCAACTCGGGGGTGAAATGTTTACCAGAATGCATGCAAAGTCAAATGCAAAGCCAAAAACGTCAAAGAAGAGAGACATGTGTCTATTTTGTTGTTTAAAGTTATTTGGTAGAAGGTACCAGCTATGCGCCCCCCCCCCCTCCCCACACACACACACCCCACCGCCAGGAAACAGTGAGACTGCAAAGCAAGTGTTAGTCAGAAAAAAAAAAATGTTATTCAACACAAGCAAGTTGGAAAGATGAAAATCCCAAGGCTAGCGGGCACCTCACTGCATTAGCACAGCTCTTTCCCACGGCCACAGCCGCAGTTATGCAAGCCAGGAGGAAGGGTTAAAAGCCCACTTCAGCACAGCCGCTGCGAGACTCCGCGCCAGTTTTTTTCTTTTTTTTTTTTCTCAGCTTTATTGACATACTGTGAGGGATTCATCTGAATGAACAGCATCCCCGCATCTCTCCCCATCGACCCCCCCACCCACCACCCATAACCAAATATTAATCTGCATGCACCTCCTGATGTTCGCATGAAGCCCCGGACAAAAATCAGATCCCGAGACCGCATCGGAGAGAAAAAGCCAGGCAGCCCGCACACAACAGAGGCACCAAAGAAACAAAAGACATCTAATTACCTTGAGTTTTCTTTCTTGTCTTCTGACGCAAAGGAACCTGCTGAAAATGCAGGAAGGAAAGAAAAGAGGAAATTTCTGATTGTGGGGTAACATTTGTAAAGAGAGAAGGCGGGAGGAGGTGGCAGTGTTTGTGAGCAGGATGGAGTCTAAAAAAAAAACTCTCCAAGCAGAGCTAACAGGGAGCTACTAGGGGAGGCACAAAATGTGCTAATTGGAATCAATAGACTTTGAGCTGAACCTGAAAAAAAAAAATAAGTCACAGCTTATTGTTTCCTGTTCCCGCCCACAAGCAGATCTCAGGCAGCCGCTTATGGTTCTAGGACAGGACCGTGCTCCCCAAAGTTTAAAAAAAAAATAAAAATGCGAGATTTCCCCTTTCACAACCTTTTATTTGTCCTGTGAGGAGAATAAAGGGGAAAAAAAGAAATAGCGCCTTCTCTTTTTTTGCAGTTTCTAAATGACAGTGACGTTTGACTTTAACTTGCAATAATCCTAATTCCCAAGGTGTTCGCTTCACCGTGGATATTCATGGTCCCGCTAAACACACAGTGTAACATCAAAACCACAGGAACTGAAAATAATCCAGAAAAAGAGGATTCATTCTCTTTGAGTGAAATCTAAGTAACTCTTTTGTCTTCTGACCAGGAATTCTTATGTACAAATTTAAATTTCTTGTTCAGTCTTTAGGTGTTTGACTCGTTTGTTCATTTTGTGGAAGATAAACTAATTACCAACTTTGGTATTAGTTCTCCAAATAGTTCTCCAAAATTAGTTCTCTAAATCTAATCTGATATTAGATAAGACATGTGGAGTCTTATTTTCACAAGATATTTAACAAAACTCATGTACAAATCAGAGTATAGCGAATGCAAAACCAAAAAAAAATCTTTTAAATGGTTTTTGGGGTCCGTGTGTGCATGAGTATATGTGTGTGTAGAGAAGAATAAAAAGCTAAAGAAATATTTAATGTTAAAGAAGTTCTTGTTTTTCACTCTAGTAGCTAAGCTGAATTTATTTCAGTTTCAATGGCTCCACTTTTTATGTTAATTTGGAAAAGAAGTTGCATATAATTGAAAAGCAATTCCAAAATCTGGCTTGCAATCTTATTTACAGCGTTTTACTCTGTCAGAGATACACCTGGGAAGAACTCTACACATCCAGCTATAACTATAAGAATGATAGTATGTGGCTCTACTGGATATTTGAAAGGGAGATATAGTATAAAAATAAAAAGTGTTTTTAATCCCAGAAACCTGCAATCGATTTCTGACTGTCACAATTCATGGCTGTGCTACCCAGGGGAGGAAAAATATCGCTTTACTAAAACTATCTCCTCATTTGCAAAATGAGGAATCTTAAAGTTCTCATAAGTGTTTTTGCAAGACTGTGTGTTTAAAATACCCTGGAAACTTAAAATAGTATTTTATGTAATTGTAAGCAATGTGTTATCTAATTATAGGTATACATGAGTGGTCTGTATCCAATAAACAAAATTTCACAACTTTTTAGGATGTGTAGATTTGTATTTCCTTCAACAACGGTGATGAGGTTAACATGCTGAAATGAGTCTGGGAAAGAAATAAACTGGTAAGTGCTGTATGACTTTCTATTTTATGAATGTTAGAATAAAATTATCTTCACAAAGAATACAATCGCCCATATGAGAAGGAACTGAGCCAAGTAATAATTAGGCCTGGAGATGTGTCTTGGTGGTAGTGCACAAACCGTTTACATATGATACACTGGATTGGATCCCTAGCACCACCCACAATACCTAGTTTGATCCTCGTTGCCACAAAAACAATGAAAATTAAAATAAAAATTTGGGGGCAACAAAGATAGTATAGCAGGAAGATGCTTGCACGTTGTCAAGGTTCAATCCCCAGCACCACCCGTGATCCCCAGAGCACCACCAGGAGGAATCTTGAGTACAGAGTACAGGATGGGCTCCACAAACAGTGTTTGGGGGTACCAGGGTCTCCTTCCAGTAATTCTCGGCAATCAGGTCAGTGGCCAGTGTGAGCAGCCAAGAATGTGGTGTTGGTAGAGTGCAGTGCAAGGGATTATCTGGACTATACTAGTAATTTTTGGGGTGGGGGGATGGGGAGAAGGTGTCCCCAGGGCTGGCTGCACCTGATGCTCAGAAGGGCCATGTGGTACTGGGAATCAAATTAGGGTCAGGGACAAGCAAGGCGTATGCCTTAATCCCTATACTATCTCTCCAACTCCAACAAAGTTTTTCTTTTTTTCTTTTAGCTTTTTGGTCACGCCCAGAGGTGCACAGGGGTTATTCCTGGCTCTGCACTCAGGTATTACTTCTGGTGGTGCTCAGGGGACCATATGGGATGCTGGGAATCGAATCTGGGTCGGCTGCGTGCAAGGCAAACACCCTACCTACCGGGCTATTGCTCCAGCCCCTGGTGCTTTTCTTTTTAATGGCCAAATTTTCCCAAGTTTTAAGCAAACATAGCCATGGTACGAACACATGTGACAAAAAAGTCAGTCATGCTATTATCACAAGGACCTAGCACCCGCCCCACCCCCACCCCCCCCCCCCCGCCACTTCACAAAATATTTTCCACACAATACCTGCCACTTATTTTAAAGTTCCCATCATTCCCACAAATCATCTCCAGGGATCTTTTTTGATAGGTTAACTTAAATCAGTAAAATCTAATTAACAAAAGATTTCAGCTCATATGCATGTATTATTTGGACAGATATAACTTGGCCCAGGAATGCCAGGACCAAAATCAAATAAGAGATTGAGTAACCTGAGAAAGTGAGAATGGTCTGAGGAAGCCTAGTGTTTTAGGGTCCCCAGGAAGTAGTTATGTCAAACTGAGATACAGGAAGACAGGGAGAAAAAGGGGCTGAGGACTAGTAGCTCTAGAGGAGTCTGGTCTTCAGTGAAAAGATGAAGTCGCACTAATTCCTTCCCGGGAAAGATATTGTAAAAGGAAGAATTTGCACCAATATGAATGGACTTAGAGGGCCATACGCTGAGTGAAATAAGACAGATGGAGAAAGACACTTTATGATTTCATTCATCTGGTATGTATAGAGAAACCTATAGCACTGTAGCACTGTCATCCTGTTGTTCATCGATTTCCTCGAGTGAGCACCAGTAACGTCTCCATTGTGAGACTTGTTGTTACTGTTTTTGGCATATCGAATACACCCATCGGATACACTGACAGTCTCTGCCGGGGGGGGGGGGGGGGGGGGGGGATACTCTCAGTAGCTTGCTGGGCTCTCCGAGAGGGACGGAGGAATTGAACCCGGGTTGGCAGTGTGCAAGGTAAATGCCCTACCCGCTGTGCTATCGTTTCAACCCAGAGAAACCTATTGACAGATAAACAGATAAATTAAATAAGCCAAAAATAAACTTTTGGACTAAAAGACCAATTAGTAGCCAATTAGTGATTACCAGCAGGGATGGCAAAATGGAGATAAAGAAAACAATTGATGGTGAAGGTTAAGGTGGATCTTCCAGAGGTAAAGTTAAGGTGGTAGAGACTCATTTTGATCTACCAAAACAAAGACGTGAAAAATATTATGTTAAATTTCTGCAGTGAAAACTTAAAAAGGAAGGAGACTCGAGAAAAAACAGCTGTATGATTTGTGGAGAGGCAGCCCTCATTCAAGCTCTCATCAGTGAGAACCCTTCACTGTTTCCTTATGAATAATTCCTGGGAGTAAATGGGGAGTCTCAAGTTTCCCCATCCAAATCAAACAGTGGATTGGTTCCCTCTCAATTTCACTCAAAACCAGACTTGGTGTATGCTAGATTCTTGCATCTATGCTGGAGGAGAAGTGAAGAGTCTAAGCAGCACTATTTTAAATAGTGAGCACTATTAACAGAGGCAAAAATGATATTCAAATTTGATTGGGGGGATAGAGAGGATAGAGAGTAGCTCAATTAGTCTCATCAAATAGAACTTTTCCAGATAATAATAAGGTTTATTATAACTGTTCAAACGGTTGAAACAGACGGTGTGTTATAGATAAAAAAAATATTGCATGGAGTTTCAAGTTTCAGTTTCATTAGTTGTACATGAATTTAAAACCAAATTGGTTAACAAGAGAGAATGAAAACATTCTTGAGAACTTGAGTTTGAGATTCATTTCAGTTCTCACAACAGGAAGTGGAACCTGAAAATTTGTCTGTTTCAAAACAGTCTTATATGTGGCTTTTTCACAAGTTGAGTTAAAAAAAAAAGCCACCCCTCAGCCATTTATGAGACAGTTTTTTTAAAAAAAAAAAAAGACCTTTTACTTATTGTAATAAATATCCAGAGCCTCATGAGTTAATTTTTCTCATACCAAATATCCCAAACCTAATAAAACTTCTTCTCATTGGCATCCTGTAGCTAAAACAGAAATTAATGGACAGGTGAAAATTGCCTTATTTGATCCTAAAATTTGGGGTAACTTTGTTTTTTAATTTATGAGATTGGTTTTTCAATTAAGACACTATTGTTTATAAAGTCATTCATAATTGAGTTTTAGGCATTCTATGGCAGAGCCTGGCAAGCTCCCCGTGGAGTATTTGATATGCCAAAAACAGTAACAGTGACGAGACTCATTCCCCTGACCCTGAAGGAGCCTCCAGTATGGCAGAGTTGGGAAAGACGAGAGGCGAGGCTGCTAAAACCTCAGGGCAGGGACAGATAGAGACATTACTGGCACCCGCTCAAGCAACTCAACGAACAACAGGATGACAGTGATAGTGACAGTGACCTTCCAGCACCAATCCCTACCACCAGTGTCAAAGTTTTTTCCACTAGTGTCCCTAGGTTCCTTCCTACCCAACGCCACAATCCAGCCTCCCTTTTTAACAGGCTCATTTTATTTATTTTTGCTTTTTGGGTCACACCCGGCAATGCACAGGGGTTACTCCTGGCTCTGCGCTCAGGAATTACCCCTGGAAGTGCTCAGGGGACCATATGGGATGCTGGGAATCCAACCCGGGTTGGCCGCATGCAAGGCAAACACCCTACCCGCTGTGCTATTGCTCCAGCCCCCAACAGGATCATTTTAAAGTTTGGTTGCTGTGGTTTGGATCTCCTTCTTCCATTGTTACTGACTCTGCAGTTTGAATATAAAGCTATTTCCTTTTTATTGAGGGAGGCTATTTTATGTCACCTTTTCGATGACTAAATTCAAAAGCACATGGAAGATAGCAAAAATCAAAAAGTCTAACATAAGTGTCAAGTGATGATTTTAACACCCAGTTACAGAGTAGTAGCTAATAAATAGACTTCCTGTTTAGTTGTTCAGTTTTGCCAGTAGAATTTGCCACATAATATATTAAACACATTAAATTTCAGTGATATGGGTTTTCATTATATCATACTTTGTAATGATCAAAGTCTTTAGCAAAATTATATACTGATATTGTAATAGATGGTTTAGTTCTGACCTGATTTCTGTGGCATAAATCCTCACTTTGTTGTTAATTTCCAGCTATTAATATCTTAAGAAGCAACCACAAAATAGTCTGAATAGTTCATGTTTTCAAACATACTCATATTACCTCCCTCCTGAAATCCATTCTCCTCATGTAACTTTGGTCCTATTATCAATGTCCACTGGCTTGTATTTTTATTATTTTTTATTCATTGTATTTTTATTCATCAATTTTATATTCCTCCATTGCACACAAAGGTAAAAATAATTACTTTTTTTTTACCAAGTCAACTCTAGCACACAACTCATAGATTAAGAATGTTTCTCTGTAAATCTTTTTCTGTTCCTGGAAAATTAAATTGAACTCATAAAGGGAACTTTTAAATACTTTCATGGGATGGTAGCCCTCCCAAGAAATGCTTAATGGGTGCAATGGCCACTCCTTGTTGTAGATTCCAACAAGGCAGGTAATTAAATGCCAGGGTTCAGGGGTGCAGTGTTGCTTGGGTCTCTGGTAACAGAGACCCGAAGAGCTATACTGCATGGACTATAAGGTCTCAGAACTCTACTTAGCAAAGCTTTAAAAGCTTTATAGTGGAGAACCAAAGCCTTGCGTCATCTTCACAGATCAAGTTTTAAACTTTTAATTACTAAAATCTTGCCTGTGATCTTTTTAGAAATACTTGCTCATTTCAGAAAGCTACCTACCTTAAATATCTAATAAGTTTATATGAAAAGAAAACATCTAGTCGTCAATAATAGACAGATAATAGATATTCTAATAATCATATCAACAATGACCAGCTAGGAAACATAGTTATCTTTTTTACTCTCATTTTTGGTTTGAGTTTTGAGGTCACACCCAGACGTGCCAATAGCTTCTACCAGAAATGCCTGGGGGACCATATGTGGTGCCGGGGATGAAATTGGGGTTGGTCATATGCAAAACAAGCACCTTTACCCCTGTATTATCTCTCCCCGTTTAGAATTTTTTATTATATTTTAGGTATATCGAATAATTTTGTTTAATTTTATTGCATTTAATTTTATTGTATAAAATTATTACATTTACCACCAAAGTGCCAGTGAGGTACCACCAATGTCTTTAGTTCCCTTTGTAGCAAGTATATCTAAAATTTGTTCACCTCTTGCCTTGTTCTGAATTTCTCACAAATACCTGAATTGAGTTTTTATATTTATAGCTCGGGTGCTATTAATATTCTCCCATTATAGAAGAGGAACTGGAGGTTCAATATTTTCCCCAAAGTCACAGAAGCAGCTGTTAACATTTAAATGTCCACTTTAACAATAAATTTCACAAAGTAGATGACATTCATGGTTTTTTTCTTGAAATCACTGGTATGAAAGAGGAAGGACAGGAAAGCAAAAGCCAGAGTTTGACGGGAAGCTTTGTACAGTGGAACTTTTTGCATATAAAAGAGGTCTGTCATCCCCAAATAATTTGAAATATAGAACTGTCTTTTAATTTTCTGTTATCAAAAACACATACTTCTCGTCAAATTATTCTTGTCTTTTGATAAGTTTGTTTTTTAAAAAAAGACTGTTGAATTTTCTCCAATATAACCTTGATATATGAAATGACCTTAGTTTATAAGAACAAAATAATTAAATCATAAGAGTTTTTAAAAATAAATAAAATGAAAGAGGTTGAAGAAAAAAGAATGAGAAGTAGGAAATGGATGAAAGACAGAGAGGGGATAAAAGAAGCTGGCAGTTCTTGTCCTGACTGATGATTTCTGACTGTCTTTGTCATAGTGGTCCCTTCTCTATCCTAGCTGCCCTCCGCCCATCACCACATGTGGCAAGCTTCCTACCACGGATCATTCCTACTGGGCCTTGTTTCCACTATCATTGGGTATTAGTCTCATACGATGGTTTTCTCATATCCCACAAGTGAGTTCAATCGTTTTATATCTGTCCCTCTCCTTTTGACTAATTTTATTCAGCATACTCTCCATGTCCATCCATTTATATGTGAATTTCTGACTTCTTTTTCCTGGTGGTTGTATAGTAGTCCATTCTGTACATGGACAATAGTTTCAACGAGATTATGAAAATTCATTCAAACACTTTAAAAGTCATCTGTTTGGGGACACTCAGGGTGTTTCCAGATTGTGGCTATTGAGAATAGTGTTGCAATGCTACTTGAGTAATGATAAATTAATACAAATAGAAAAAAGGGGAGCTGGCAGAAAGGATCCAAAGAAAAGAGCACTGGGGAGGGTGGCAGAGAAGAGGAAGAAGATGCAGAATAGAAAGGGGGGGAAATCCTGGCATTTCAGCTTAAGTAACAGAATAGATGGCAGCAACACAGAAAACACAGTTGGAAATACATATATTCAACAGCAAACATCTTGAATTTAAGGTATATCTGAGTCATATAAGTGGAAATGCTCAGTATGTTTATTCAAGAGTCTCCAGATTGGAAGAAAATCTTGAATAAAGATGTAAAATTGGAAACCATCAGAATGTAAAGGACAGAAGCCTTGATTTTGGGTGAGATCCTCAGTAAGTGTATAGAACAACCAAGGGCTGAAGTCAGCATCTGCAAGGGCAAACTGACATTCAGAAACAGTAGAAGATACTATCCAGGAGTCTAGACAGAACGGCCAATGAAAAACTCAAATCAGGATCAGGTTATCTTGGAAAGGAGGGAGACACTCAAGAGAAATGCAGGTCCTGGAGACCAGAAACGAGAAGTACACTAGGAAAATATAGGTAGAATGCTTCAAAATTTGGACATGAAAGCCATCTTCAATGATGCAATACTACTAGAAAAGGCAAGAAAATGAAAATTAAATAAATGGGCTGTATCACTGTAGCACTGTCCTCCCGTTGTTCATCGATTTGCTCGAGCGGGCACCAGTAAGTTTCACAACAAATTGTGAGACTTTTTGTTACTGTTTTTGGCATATTGAATACATTACAGGTAGCTTGCCAGCCTTTGCTGTGCAGGCGAGATACTCTCGGTATCTTGCTGGGCTCTCCAAGAGGGACAGAGGAATCAAATCCTGGTCGACCGCGTGCAAAGCAAACGCCCTACCCGCTGTGCTATATGGGCTACATAAAATTAAAAGAGCTACTACAAGGAAAAAGAAACATTAACTAAAACTGAAAGACAGCTAACTGAATGAGAGAGAAATACATTAAACACATCAGATAAAGTGTTGATATCCAGGATATATAAAGGATTTACAAAGATCAACAAAAAAATTCAAAACCCTACCAAGAAATGGGGAGAGGAAATGAACAGGCACTTCTGAGAGAGGAAGACAAGTGGATGGCCAGTTAGCACATGAAAAAATGTTCATCATCACTTATTATTAGAGAAATCCAAATCAAGATGACAATGAGATACCATCTCATACCAGCAAGAACGATACATATCAAAAATAGAATAGGAACAATCTGTGTTGGTAGGAATGTGATGAAGAGTGAGCTCTCATCCACTGCTGGTGGGGATGTTGTCTGGTTCAACCCGTGTGGAAAACCATATGAAGGGTTCCCAATAAACTAAGAATTGAACTGCCATATGACCCAGCAATTCCACTTTGGGGGATCTATCCCAGGACTTAAAAACATTCATTCAAAAGGATACAAGCACACTATTATTCATTGCTGCACTTAGTATAGTAATTAAGATATGGGATCAACCCAAGTGTCTAATGAAAGATGAATGGGTTATGAAGATGTGGTCTATATATACAATAGAATACTATGCAGCTGCTAGGAACAATGAAATCATGCAGTTTGCTGCAACTTGGTTAGAACTGGAAGATATCATGATGAGTAAAGGAAGCCAAAAAAGAAAGACATACACAGATGTATGAAAGATCATCTCACTTATCTATGTTATGCAGAATACTGGATAAGGAAATGTATTTTTGTGAAGGGGGGAATTCCTACATCACCCTTGATCCCAGAGTCCAGAAAGAGGACAGAGAAAGAATGAAATTAAAGCAGGTGAGAAAGGAGGAGAAACCGGGAAGTAATGGGCAAACAGGGGTAGGGGCTGCAGTTCTACTGGTGATAAGGGAGAGTGGTATAGCCATATATCCAAAGCATAGACTCAACAACATTGAGAACATGAGATCTAAGCTGCATCCACCAGAACTTTGTAATGTGTCTGTGAAGCAGACAGGCAGTGGAGGGGGAAGGATGGGGGAACAGAATATGGGAATACTGGTGGAGAGAAGTTGACACTGGTGGTGGGATTGGCATTGAAATACCATGTGCCTCAAATACAACCATCAATAACTTTGTAAATCACGGTTTTATAATTTAAAAGTATTTTTAAAAAGAGAGAGAAAAGTAGGTCCAAATAACCTGAAACTATCGGCTTTTGGAAAACCATCGTTAGCAATGTCTGCAAGAAAAGCACCATCATTGTATTAAGCTAGAACCAGAATGGAGATAAATGGGAAATAAAGAAATAAAGATAGCATTGTAAACTTTCATGCGATCAGAATAGCAGAGTACCAAAGGAGAGATGGCCACGGGTTCCTTGAATCACATTCTCTGTCTTACTACCAGTGCTACAGAAAAATACAGATACGAACATACTGAACATGAGGTGTTGAAATCGGAAAGCAGTTGTACAACAAAATATCACCTATAATCTGACCCGCTAAGCATAGATTTCTCTCTTCCTTCCTTTGAATCTTATTTTTCAGATTACCTTCGGATAATCAAGTAGAAGTACAACTGTGTCTCCCAATGCATCAATGCCCTTTGCCATTCCCTTCCTGTCCACTTCTGGTTATACCAAACTGAAAATGATGTTAATCATTTCCATGCAGCCATAGTATTGACACTCAATTTTAACAATACCATGGACAATAGCAAAAACAGAGATATTTAATTGTGTACTCTATGTTTTGGGAACGTTTTTTCCATGTACCTCTATTTCATTCCCCATGCTGTATAAACCCGCAGTAAATGAAAATGCCATAGTTCATCCATCTATTTACTGAAGTTCTCTTGTGCTACCTCAACATTACTGCAATGAACAAGATGCATTGTGCATATGGACATTTTATTTCTCTGTACTGAAGCATTAATCTGAGTGGATTATAGAGTCTTGGGCCCTGTGCTTCTTTAGTGTTGTAGATACTCCCAAATTGACTTTCAAGCACCCTGTCTACAATCCTTCCTTTAATATGTGTATACTATAGCACTGTCCTCCCATTGTTCATCAGTTTGCTCGAGTGGGCACCAGTAACATCTCCATTGTGAGACTTGTTGTTACTGGGTTTGGCATATCGAATATGCCACAAGGAGCTTGACAGTCTCTACCATGCAGGCGAGATACTCTTGGTAGCTGGCCAGGCTCTCCAAGAGGGACAGAGGAATGGAACTCAGGTCAGCCATGTGCAAAACAGACACCCTACCTGCTGTGCTATCTCTCCAGTCCATGTGTATACTATACCACATTTAAATTAAGATTTGTTCATTCTTTTGAGAGGGGGCAAGGGTGTGGTTTGGGTCACGCTCAGGACTGTGCTCAAGTTTTATTCATGACTCTATTCAAGGACTTTTCTAAGGGAACCTCTGGTGCCAGGGAACAAACTTGTGTCTACCTCATGCAAGAAAGCACCTTACCTTCTGTACTATTTCTCCAGCTTCAAGTTCATTCCTTTGAATGTGTTTTAATTTTTTAATGTGTACTTTTTATTGCTGGAGCGATAGCACAGTGGTAGGGCATTTGCCTTGCATGCAGCCAACATGGCCGACCCGAGTTCGATTCCTCCGCCCCTCTTGGAGAGCCCAGCAAGCTACCGAGAGTATCTCGCCCGCACGGCAGAGCCTGGCAAGCTACCCGTGAAGTACTGGATATGCCAAACACAGTAACAAGTCTCATGATTGAGACGTTACTGGGCCCGTTCAAGCAAATCGATGAACAACAGGATGACCATGACCATGATTTTTTATTAAAGTACCGTGATTTACAAAGTTATTCATAATTGAGTTTTAGACATGCACTATTGCAGCACCAAACCCTCCACCAGTGTCAACTTCTCGCCACCACTGTTTACAGTTTCTCCTCCCCTCCATACCCTCTCCCAACTCCAATGTGCCCTCTTGATACCAAGTAGAAATTCAACTGTGTCTCCCAATGCATCCCTTCCCTTTGTCATTCCCTTCCTGTCCTTTCTAAGTTTGGTTGTTAACGTTTGGGTCTCTTGATTTCATTGTTGTTGACTCTATGGTTTAGATATTTAGCTGTACCACTCCTGTACATCACTGATGTACTTGGATCCCCTTGGTCCCTGCTCCCAATTGCTTCCATCTAACTCTTGGTCCTTGATTTCTTTCCTCCTCTATCCTCTTCCCTACACACTGGGCCAAGAAACATCTAGGGATCCTTCCTTTAGAACATTGCATGATCTCACATGTGTTTGTCTTTCTTCTGGCTTACTTCATTTAACATGACATTTTCCAGTTCCATCCATGTTTCAGCAAACTAAATGATTTCATTGTTCTTTGAAGCTTTCTATTGTGTATACGTACCACACCTTCATAACACACTGTCTGTTCTTGTACACCTAAGCTGATTCCATATATTAGCTATTGTATCAAATGCTGCAATATATAGTGGTGTCCTTTTAAATAATGGCTTTTTTGTCCCAGGAGTAAATACCTAGAAGCTGAATTGCTGGGTCACATGACAGCTCAATTCTCCATCATTTGGCTGAAAACTCACTGTTTCACATTGTACTGTCCAAAATGTTTATATCACTATCAAAAATAGACTTTTATACATTTATTTCATGAAAAATAAAGATATTTTATCTTACAATCTATGATCACTAGCATGTTTTAAGTGTTTTAAAATTTTTTTAAATTTTTTTTTATTAGGGAAACACCATGAGGTACAGTTGTAGACTTACAAGTTGTTGTGCTTGGGTTTCAGTTATGCAATTATCAAGTACCCATCCCACCAATGGTGCCCATTCTCCACCCCCACCAATCCCAGTATCCCTCCGACCCCCCCATCCCCCATCCCACCCTGCCTCTGTGTCAGGGCACTCCCTTTTGTTCTCTCTCTCCTTTTGGGTGCTGTGGTCTGCAGAAGAGATATTGGGTGGCAATCATGTTTGGTCCATAGATTACTTTCAGCAGGCATCTCCCATCCTGGGCAGATCTTCCCAGCACCCTTTATTTGGTGCTCCCTTTTCTATCTGAGCTGTCTTTACCCCTAGAGTGTGCGGCTGGCCTCTAAGCCATGGAGTGAACAACCTGATATTTATCACAGCTGTTCTCGGGGATTAGTCTCTTATTTTGTTACCTTATGTACCCAGATGAACGCAATCTTTCTATGTCTGTCCCTCTCTTTCTGACTCATTTCGTTTAGCACAATATTTTTCATGTAGTACCACTTGTATGTAAATTTCATGACTTCATTTTTTCTAACTGCTACATAGTACTCCATTCTGTAGATGTACCAAAGTTTCTTTAACCAGTCATTTGTTCTCGGGCACTCAGGTTTTTTCCATAGTCTAGCTACTGTAAACAGTGCTGCAATGAACAAACAAGTGCAGATGTCACTTCAACTATACTTTTTGGCCTCTCCGGGGTATATTCCCAGGAGTGGTATTGCTGGGTCAAATGGGAGCTCAATTTCTAATTTTTTGAGAGTCGTCCATACAGTTTTCTAAAAGGGTTGAACCAGTCGGCATTCCCACCAGCAGTGAAGGAGGGTCCCTTTCTCACCACATCCACACCAACACAGGTTGCTTTTGTTCTTTTGAATGTGGGCCAGTCTCTGTGGTGTGAAATTTTAAGGTCACAAAATTATGGGGACACTGGTTTTATGCCCTCTCTCTCTCCCTTTCCCTTCATTTTGTTTTTACCTCTCACTCTCACTCTCCCTGGTGCTCATGATTCTTTTTTAGCATCTGGAATTTCCTCCATAAGTGTGTCGATTCAGCCTACCAATTATCTCAAGAGACCGTCCAGCTACTGTTTTAGCTGGTTGTGTTGTTGAGAAGATACCACTATCTCCTCCCTATCTATGGCTCCTTCCGATACATCAAGGAGCCAACAGTGTCATTTCAGGCAGTGGTTTGACAACTGTTCCTTTCTGATTAGCACCTTCACAAGTTGGGAAGGCTTTTTTTCACCACCGTCATCAAAAAGCAAAGGGCACTCTCTTCACCTTAGAGGAGCCTGGCTCTTACCCTGTTAACCTGGAGCAGAAGGCGACCACTTCCTGCCTCCAAAGGAAGTGCTCACCAGGCCCACTGCTGCTGTCACGTTTGCTGCTTCTCATTTCTGACACAGATGACAGCCTCATTTCTCAACCTGACTTCTGGTTTTCCATGTTTCTGTTTGTCGTTCATTGTTTTACATATGTAGCAGGACACAATGTCCAAGTGTGAGCTCACAGAACCATCAGTAAATAAAAACTAATTTTGCTTTGATTTTTAATCCATCACCATGAGATATACAGTTACAAAGCTGTTCATGATTGGGTTTCAGTTACACAATGTTCCAACACCCATCCCTTCACCAGCGTACATTTCCCACCGCCAATGTCCCAGTTTCCCTCCTGCAACACCCTCCCTCCTAACCCTCCATGAAGCTTGCCTCTCTTTTCTTCTTTCTCCCTCTCCTTTTGGACATTATGGTTTGCAATACAGATACTGAGGCGTCATCATGTTTGTTCATTTACTACTTTCTATCTTAAAATCACAATCCAATGAGGAATCTCTTCCCATGATGATGTAAAGACACCATCAAAATTTCTGGTCCTTTCCTCTCCTGCCATCCTAATCATTTTCCTGTTCTTTAGGAATATGAGCCGGTTTACCAACCCCACACTTTCAAATACTTTATTCTCTCCCACCAACCCACTTTTACCCAGTTGTTGCTTACTCATTCCTTCAGACAGGTCAAAGGTCACCTCATCCATGATGGCTTCTTGACTTTAGAAGGCCATTAGCTCTTAAAATAATCTTATGTTCACTCATTATTAATATTTACTCACTATAACAACTGATTTATATTATGTCCAAGAGATCAATAGTACATACTATTTTTAACTTCCACAAATGAAGAACTTAATTTGGTGTGGCTAAATACTTGCCCTCTGGTCATGCATAACTAGCAGCAAAGCCAACTGAGATGCAGTCCAATTAGACTCCAGAGCTTATTATGTGAGTATCTTGCTGTGCTTCTTCTAACCTCTGTGCTCCCACAATGCTTTGCTGATAGCTCTGAAATAAATAACATTCTTATATCTGTATGGTGCACTATAGGACACACGTTGTGCTAACACTACCCATCCCAATGATCTGAATCAGAATTTTTTTGTGTCATCAAAAATATGCCCTTTCTCCACTATACAACATTTGTTCAATCACCTCCATTAGTGCTACCCGCACTAAAGTTGATCAAATCACTTTTATTGCATCTGTTGCTCAATGACTGCAACTTAGATTCAAGGATTAGCTAAGACTTCAAAATAAACTTGATGTTCTTGAACAAGCCAAGACTTCAGCATTTAGTACCTAGCTCAATGTATAATATAGTGAGCACTTGATCAAATTTTAACCAAGACATTGACTGTTTTTTATTAGTTTTTACTTCCTACAATGACTTATTAGTGCTTGGGATAGCAGAGATTCAACCAATCTCTATGACACCATATTTTTGTTTGATTATTCATAATCAAAATTAAAATACTTCCTTCAGTAAATAACACCATGAATTTTAACAACATAAAATTTGATTCAA